CCACTTTACACTCCACACTCCACACTTTCCACTCCACACTCCGCACTCCACACTCCACACTTTACACTCCTCACTTTACACTCCACACTCCACACTCCACACTCTACACACCACACTCTACACTTTCCACTCCAGACTCCACACTCTACACTTTACGCTCCACACTGCACACTTTACACTCACACTTTACACTCCACACTCCACACTTTACACTCCTCACTCCACACTCCACAGTTTACACTCCACACTCCACACTTTACACTCCTCACTCCACACTTTACACTCCTCACTTTACACTCCACACTTCACACTCCACACTTTACACTCCATACTCCACACTCTACACTTTACACTCCGCACTCCACACTTTACACTCCTCACTCCACACTTTACACTCCACACTTTACTCTCCACACTCTACACTTTACACTCCACACTTTACACCCCATACTCCACACTCTACACTTTACACTCTACACTATACACTCTACACTCCACACTTTACACTTTACACTCCACCCTTTCCACTTTACTCTCCTCACTCCACACTTTACACTCCACACTTTACACTCCACACTCCATACTCTACACTTTACACTCCATACTCCACACTCTACACTTTACACTCCGCATTCTACACTGTACACACTCTACACTCCCCACTCCACACTTTACACTCCACACTCCTTACTTCACACTCCGCACTCCACACTCTACACTTTCCACTCCACACTGCAGACTGGTAACAAGGGAAACATGTACAAGACTGTTCAAATAAACTATTACAGAAAGGTATTGTGCGTGACTGCATAACCATGTGTTTTGACATCTGTACCATTAACATACGTGTGAGCATTCGGGTTCGTGGGCTTCATCTTGTTTTCTTGCTTTAGCAAGGGATGTGGAGCAGTCCAATTGCCAAACTCGCAATTTGTCCTGCACACTTTGATATGGATTCATTTCATCCAGCGATCCGCCCAACTCCTTCCCACTTAGTCACTCCACTCCACCTTGCTCTGAATCTTGCCACCTTCCTCCACGCTACCCTTCGCATCTCCCTTCTCATTGCTAGCGCCCATGGCTTTCTATGCCTTCTCCGCTCCCACATCTTTTTTCTTGGCCTTTCGTTTACCAACCCTCAAGGACTCAAGTTTGGACCTTTCCCCATGGTATTTTGCTCATAACTCATGCCCATCATCAACCAGTAGTTCCATCTGAACATAAAGGAACCCGAAACCTTAACATGCCACCTGGCGCAAGTGAAACATACATTGAAAATCATTAAAAATCATTGAAACATGTTGAAACATTGAATTTCTGAATGCCATACCTTGGAATCCTTAGAGCTTGGCTTCCGGCAGGTGTTGCCACTTTCTGAAGTGATTGCCGAGGCAGGTGCAGTGTTTGAACAAGGTCTTTCCAAGCAGTCAAAAGTTGTGTTGCGAAGTGGAAGGGTTCAACATGGTTCAACATGGTTCAACGACATTTTGCTCCCTCATCATTGCCGCAGTTGTTGTCACTGAGTGTCACTGAAGCACAATGCATTAGAATGTGTTGCTGCGGCAAATGGTCAGAGTGAAGCAATGAAACATTAAGATTTCATAATTTAGCCCACAGGATTTTGCTTTCTGCCTGTGCTCATTGCAGGGCCCTCCTGAGCCAGTCGAGGCAGAGGCAGTGGGTTTGAACAATGTCTTGTCACAAAAGCTAGTGGTAGCAAGCTTGATTTTTTTCATGTTTTTTTCTTGCTTTAGCAAGGGATGTGGAGCAGTCCAATTGCCAAACCCGCAATTTGTCCTGCACACTTTGATATGGATTCATTTCTTCCAGCGATCCACCCAACTCCTTCCCACTTAGTCACTCCACTCCACCTCGCTCTGAATCTTGCCACCTTCCTCCACGTTACCCTTCGCATCTCCCTTCTCATTGCTAGCGCCCATGGCTTTCTATGCCTTCTCCGCTCCCACATCTTTTTTCTTGGCCTTTTGTTTACCAACCCTCAAGGACTCAAGTTTGGACCTTTCCCCATGGTATTTTGCTCATAACTCATGCCCATCATCAACCAGTAGTTCCAGCTGAACATAAAGGAACCCGAAACCTTAACATGCCACCTGGTGCAAGTGAAACATACATTGAAACATGTTGAAACATGTTGAAACATTGAATTTCTGAATGCCATACCTTGGAATCCTTAGAGCTTGGCTTCCGGCAGGTGTTGCCACTTTCTGAAGTTGCCGAGGCAGGTGCAGTGTTTGAACAAGGTCTTTCCAAGCAATCAAAAGTTGTGTTGCGAAGTGGAAGGGTTCAACATGGTTCAACGACATTTTGCTCCCTCATCATTGCCGCAGTTGTTGCCGCTGACTGTCACAATATCACAATGCACTGGAGGTGTTGATGCGGCGAATGGTCACAGTGAAGCAATGAAACATTAAGATTTCATAATTTAGCCCACAGGATTTGCTTTCTGCCTGTGCTCATTGCAGGGCCCTCCTGAGCAAGTCGAGGCAGAGGCAGTGGGTTTGAACAATGTCTTGTCACGAAAGCTAGTGGTAGCAAGCTTGATTTTTTTCATGTTTTTTCTTGCTTTAGCAAGGGATGTGGAGCAGTCCAATTGCCAAACCCGCAATTTGTCATGCACACTTTGATATGGATTCATTTCTTCCAGCGATCCACCCAACTCCTTCCCACTTAGTCACTCCACTCCACCTTGCTCTTACCATCTTGCCACCTTCCTCCACGCTACCCTTCGCATCTCCCTTCTCATTGCTAGCGCCCATGGCTTTCTATGCCTTCTCCGCTCCCACATCTTTTTTCTTGGCCTTTCGTTTACCAACCCTCAAGGACTCAAGTTTGGACCTTTCCCCATGGTATTTTGCTCATAACTCATGCCCATCATCAACCAGTAGTTCCAGCTGAACATAAAGGAACCGGAAACCGCAATATGCCACCTGGTGCAAGTGAAACATATATTGAAACATTGAGATTCTGCATGCAATACCTTTGAATCCCTTGAGCTTTGCTTTCTGCAGGTGGTGGAATTTGAAGCCGCACCGCTGTCTGAAGTGATTGCCGAGGCAGGTGCAGTGTTTGAACAAGTCTTTCCAAGCAGTCAAAAGTTGCGTTGCGAAGTGGAAGGGTTCAACATGGTTCAACGACATTTTGCTCCCTCATCATTGCCGCAGTTGTTGTCACTGAGTGTCACTGAAGCACAATGCATTAGAATGTGTTGCTGCGGCAAATGGTCAGAGTGAAGCAATGAAACATTAAGATTTCATATTTTTCATAATTCATCCCAGGGTGTGACAATCTTCAGGATTTTGCTTTCTGCCTGTGCTCATTGCAGGCAGAATCGCTGTTTCAACAGCCCTCGGAGACTCACGGGGAGGAGGAACAGCCCCCGCAGGCTTGCCAGATTTGAAAAGGGGGTCTTGGATGTTGCGCATGGCGATTTGAGGGTCCCACCACCCTGGACCCTGTTCATGATTTCAAAAAAAAAGAGAGGAGACAGCCTTTCAACATCTTCCCACAAGAAATTGGACTCAGGGCAGACACTTTTAGATTATTTCTCACCCCATCGGATGAGACATCGTTGTCATAATGCACCTAGTGACCCAGTCTTCACCAGTGCAAAATTGTCAAACCTGAAGTGGTTGGTGGTGATGACACCCACAGATTTCCCAAACATCTCATGAACTTTCAGGATGACATCGCGCAATTTGTGCAGGACGGGGGCAGGGTCAGGATGGGCCAGGTCAGCTGGTGGTGGGCTAGCCGGCTAGTCCTTCAACTGTGGATCTGGGAAACATCAATTCGCTTGACACTGCGTGCAGTGCCAATCGGAAATTGCCGATGGATGTGAGGATTTAGCATGATTTAGCAACTAAATTTTAGTTCCGTCAAAAGGGCTTTTCGGCGTCACTTGAGAATAGGCTGGGACCCGGTCGGATAATGTTTGGAAACTTGCTTCATAACAAAAGCCCCAAAGATCCAAGGCCTTTCTCTCCGCGATCGGCTGCTGCGGCAGGCAGCCGGGAAGGTGTTGGGCTGCTGGTGTGACCTGCAGTTGAGGGCTGGACAGCTAGACATTTTTAAAAGGGTGGGGAATGTGATCAGCTGCATTAAGCACTAATCATCACCTAATTCTGTCGGGAAGGCCATGGATCTTGTGGCAGCAAGGGAAGGTGGATGAAGGTGGTGTGACCTGCTAGTTGTCCATAGTCAAAGCCAACGTTCCCCAGGCGCTAAAAGTGACCGCCGCCTAGCAATTTAGTTTCACCCGCATCAATGAGACAATATCATGTCTAGAAATCTTGCAGATGTTTGTATTTTTCAAGTGGAATGTAATTGCTAGCTGTGTATAATTGTGTATAAAGAACCATAGGTATTTCACACGCTGCACCCCAAATGCACGCTGCTAACTGGCTGCAGCCTCGATTGATTTGATGGCTTGCCACAGCTTCTGCAAGTCATGGAACGTTTTGAACTGAAAAATCGCAGCAGAGGGCCGGCCTGGAAAGCCTACCGTTTTTGGGGGCTTTCCCGGAATTTGACGAAAAAATCCAAGAGATACCTGTGATATCAGTTTTGGATGGTTTTGGATGAAGTGTGACTCGCCCAGTCAGAATGTTCAAGACATGCGAGGTTCGGGCCAAGGGTGGATTGGGTCATCTAGCTCCGAAGATTGCCGTTGAGTCGCTCTCATCGATATCAAGTATTCAACATATTTCATGAATTTTCATGATACTTCAGCATGTTGTTGTCACCTGACTTGGCCCCAACCAATTCTTGGCAGAGCCTGTTCTGAGCTGCAAGCTTCCAAGTTGACACTTTCTCTGATTTCTTATGATCCTGCAGATACCTTACGAATCCTTACGACATGATAGCTTGGTTGTGGCTATGGGCTATAGCGGCTATGGGCTCAGATTCATTACATTGTCCATCATTGTCCTCAGTCGCCTGGAGACACCTTGGCTCAGCTGATTGTTGACATCGCTCCAGCTGAATCGCTGCCATGGATTCAGCCACGGCGGCGTCGGTGTACCGCATGAGATTCCCCGTCACCGCACGCTCGCGGGATGACCCGCGGCTCCTGGGATGGAGGATGGTTGATGGCAAAAGCCAGGCGCTGCAGCAGCGACACCTGGCCGAACTGGAGGCGGAGGGCAGGAAGATGAAGGATCAACCGAAGGAGGACACGCCGGGATCGGGGATGCTGGCGGCCATTGCGCACTTTGATGCGTTGCAAGCAGCAAAGAAACCTGTGATCAAGGCGGAGGCGAGGAGAGAGTGGATTTGAGAAAGATCTTGTTGGGATCAGTCATGATTGGGTCTCAAAGTGGCCTAGTACCAGTACATCCAGTACCATGTGGCGGGAGTTTCATCCTCATCAAAACAAATTTGAAAAAAACTACCCGAAAAAGGTGGCAGGCGTTGATGCAGTGCATGGTCATCGCGGAATGTCAAGTTTTGGCATTGCAAAACCTTCGGATCCTTCAAGCACTTTCTTTCTTTCTGCAGGTGGCGGAATTTGAAGCGTCACCTGGGGCTGAAGTTGCCGAGGCAGGTGTAGTGTTTGAACAAGGTCTTTCCAAGCAGTCAAAAGTTGTGTTGCGAAGTGGAAGGGTTCAACATGGTTCAACATGGTTCAACGACATTTTACTCCCTCATCATTGCCAGAGTTTTTGTCACTGAGTGTCACTGAAGCACAATGCATTGGAGGTGTTGATGCGGGAAATGGTCAGAGTGAAGCAATGAAACATTAAGATTAAGATTTCATAATTTAGCACACAGGATTTTGCTTTCTGCCTGTGCTCATTGCAGGGCCCTCCTGAGCCAGTCGAGGCAGAGGCAGTGGGTTTGAACAATGTCTTGTCACAAAAGCTAGTGATAGCGAGCTTGATTTTTTTCATCTTTCTGCCTTGCTTTCGCAAGGGATGTGGAGCAGTCCAAGTGCCAAACCCGCAATTTGTCATGCACACCTTGATATGGATTCATTTCTTCCAGTGATCCACCCAACTCCTTCCCGCTTAGTCACTCCACTCCACCTTGCTCTTACCATCTTGCCACCTTCCTCCACGCTACCCTTCGCATCTCCCTCCTCATTGCTAGCGCCCATGGCTTTCTATGCCTTCTCCGCTCCCACATCTTTTTTCTTGGCCTTTTGTTTACCAACCCTCAAGGGCTCAAGTTTGGACCTTTCCCCATGGTATTTTGCTCATAACTCATGCCCATCATCAACCAGTAGTTCCAGCTGAACATAAAGGAACCCGAAACCTTAACATGCCACCTGGTGCAAGCGAAACATACATTGAAAATCATTGAAATATGTTGAAACATTGAATTTCTGAATGCCATACCTTGGAATCCTTAGAGCTTGGCTTCCGGCAGGTGTTGCCACTTTCTGAAGTGATTGCCCAGGCAGGTGCAGTGTTTGGACAAGGTCTTCCCAAGCAGTCAAAAGTTTTGTTGCGAAGTGGAAGGGTTCAACATGGTTCAACGACATTTACTCCCTGATCATTGCCGCAGTTGTTGTCACTGAGTGTCACTGAAGCACAATGCGCTGGAGGTGTTGCTGCGGCAAGTGGTCACAGTGAAGCAATGAAACATTAAGATTTCATAATTTAGCCCACAGGATTTTACTTTCTGCCTGTGCTCATTGCAGGGCCCTCCTGAGCCAGTCGAGGCAGAGGCAGTGGGTTTGAGCATGTTTGAACAATGTCTTGTCACGAAAGCTAGTGGTAGCAAGCTTGATTTTTTTCATGTTTTTTTCTTGCTTTAGCAAGGGATGTGGAGCAGTCCAAGTGCCAAACCGGCAATTTGTCATGCACACTTTGATATGGATTCATTTCATCCAGCGATCCACCCAACTCCTTCCCACTTAGTCACTCCACTCCACCTTGCTCTGACCATCTTGCCACCTTCCTCCACGTTACCCTTCGCATCTCCCTTCTCATTGCTAGCGCCCATGGCTTTCTATACCTTCTCCGCTCCCACATCTTTTGTCTTGGCCTTTCGTTTACCAACCCTCAAGGACTCAAGTTTGGACCTTTCCCCATGGTATTTTGCTCATAACTCATGCCCATCATCAACCAGTAGTTCCAGCTGAACATAAAGGAACCCGACACCTTAACATGCCACCTGGTGCAAGTGAAACATACATTGAAAATCAATAAAAATCATTGAAACATGTTGGAACATTGAATTTCTGAATGCCATACCTTGGAATCCTTAGAGCTTGGCTTCCGGCAGGTGTTGCCACTTTCTGAAGTGATTGCCGAGGCAGGTGCAGTGTTTGAACAAGGTCTTTCCAAGCAGTCAAAAGTTGTGTTGCGAAGTGGAAGGGTTCAACATGGTTCACATGTTCAAAACGACTTTTGCTCCCTATCTTGCTGCAAGCTGCAGTTGTGTCAAAATGAGTGTCCACTTGAATCAACAATGCAAATTAGAATGTGTTTGCTGCGGCAAATGGTCAGAGTAAGCAATGAAACATTTAAGATTTCATAATTTAGACACAGACAGGATTTTTGCTTTCTGCCTGTGCTCATTTTCAGGGCCTCCTGAGAGCCAGGTCGTGAGGCAGAGGCAGTGGTTTTGAACAATGTCTTGTCACGAAAGCTAGTGGTAGCAAGCCTGATTTTTCCCGAATGCGTAGCAAGGGTTCCCGTTTCACTCTGGGGGTCTGGGGGTTGAGGGTGTGTTCGCTCGACGTTGCGTTTGTGGTCGCAACCGTTCGCAACCGTCCGCAACCGTCCGCAACCGTTCGCAACCGTTCGCAACCGTCCGCGCGATCCCCGTATGGCCGTGCCTATGGGAAGTTTTGCAGAGGGGGTCCTTTTTGGAGGTTTCAGACGTGTCGTTGCTTCGTTTCGCGTGGCAGGCGTGGCACTTCGTGACATTCAGACGTGTTCTGGAACGTGTCAAAAGTCGTTTTGCCTGGCAGGCGCAATACTTTTGCGACGTTTTCAGAAGATGTGTTGCAGTTTTCGTGGCAGGCGCAGCACTTTGGACGTGTCCATCGTCATTTTTCGTGGCAAGCGCAGCACTTTAGACGTGTCGTGTTGCGTGTTTTTTGCAAATCGCATTGGAGGGGTGCGTCAGTGGCGACAAGGTGCAAATTCCGTGGCAGTCGTGGCATTTTGTACGATGTGCTGAAAATTGACGGAAGCCTCGCACGAAACATGGATTTTGAGGTTGCAAATTTTCAGGTTCTAAGGAAAACTCCTAGGAAAACGTCGATTTTGAAGCTACAAAGTGTGAAAATTGGAGGAGGTCTCGCACAAAATGCTGGTTTTTCTGTATCCACGTGTCTTGTCTCGAGGCGCTTGTTTTTCTGTGGCGTCGCCGTGTCTATGGGGGAAGCTGGAAAACCTGTCCTTTTCGAATGTTTCCAAGCAGGTTGTCATGTTGTTTTGCGTGGCAGACGTGGTACTTTCTGACATTCCAACCTGTTTGATGATGTTCACAAAATTTCAAAATTGGAGGAAATCTCGTAGGAAATGCTCGTTTTGGTGCTCCCACGTGTCTCGTCTCGAGTCTCTCGTTTTCCTGTGGCGTCGCCGTGTCTATGGGGGAAGCTGGAAAACATGTCCTATTCGAATGTGTCCAAGCAGGTTGTCATGTCGTTTTGCGTGGCAGGCGTGGCACTTTGTGACATTCCAAACTTGTTTGATAATGTGTTGAAAATGTCAAAATTGGAGGAAGTCTCGTACGAAATGCTGGTTTTTCTGCATCCACATGTCTTATCTCGAGTCGCTGGTTTTCCTGTGGCGTCGCCGTGTCTATGGGGGAAGCTCTGCACTCCACACTCTACACTTTACACTCCGCACTCCACAATTTACACTTTAGACTCCACACTGTACACTTTACACTCCACACTTTACACTTTGCACTTTACACTCCTCACACCTTACCTGAGACTTTACACTCCACACTCTACACTTTACACTCTACACTCCACACTCCTCACTCCACACTTTACACTTCACACTCCTCACTTTACACTCCACACTCCACACTCTACACTTTCCACTCCACACTCCACACTCCACACTCCACACTCCACACTCCACACTCTACACTGCACACTCCACACACCACACTCCACACTCCACACTTTACACTCCTCACTCCACACTTTACACTCTACACGCCACACTCCACACTCTACACTCCGCACTCCACACTCCACACTCCACACTCTACACTTTAAACTCCACACTCCACACTCCACACTTTACACTCTACACTCCACACTCTAGACTCTACACTTTACATGCTCCACACTCCCCACTCCACACTTTATACTCCACACTCCTTACTTTACACTCTACACTCCACACTCTACACTTCCCACTCCACACCGCAGACTGGTAATAGGGGAAATATGTACAAGCCTGTTCCAATAAACTATTGCAGAAAAGTGTTCTGCGTGACTGCATGTCCATGTGTTTCCACATCTGTACCATTAACATACGTGTGAGCATTCGGGTTCGTGGGCTGCATCTTGTTTTCATGTTTTTTTTTGCTTTAGCAAGGGATGTGGAGCAGTCCAATTGCCAAACCGGCAATTTGTCATGCACATTTTGATATGGATTCATTTCTTCCAGCGATCCACCCAACTCCTTCCCACTTAGTCACTCCACTCCACCTTGCTCTTACCATCTTGCCACCTTCCTCCACGCTACCCTTCGCATCTCCCTTCTCATTGCTAGCGCCCGTGGCTTTCTATGCCTTCTCCGCTCCCACATCTTTTGTCTTGGCCTTTCGTTTACCAACCCTCAAGGACTCAAGTTTGGACCTTTCCCCATGGTATTTTGCTCATAACTCATGCCCATCATCAACCAGTAGTTCCAGCTGAACATAAAGGAACCCGAAACCTTAACATGCCATCTGGTGCAAGTGAAACATACATTGAAACATGTTGAAATATGTTGAAACATTGAATTTCTGAATGCCATACCTTGAAATCCTTAGAGCTTGGCTTCCGGCAGGTGTTGCCACTTTCTGAAGTGATTGCCGAGGCAGGTGCAGTGTTTGAACAAGGTCTTTCCAAGCAGTAAGTTGTGTTGCGAAGTGGAAGGGTTCAACATGGTTCAACGACATTTTGCTCCTCATCGTTGCCGCAGTTGTTGTCACTGAGTGTCACTGAAGCACAATGCATTAGAATGTGTCGCTGCGGCAAATGGTCAGAGTGAAGCAATGAAACATTCAGATTTCATAATTTAGCCTGCAGGATTTTGCTTTCTGCCTGTGCTCATTGCAGGGCCCTCCTGAGCCAGTCGAGGCAGAGGCAGTGGGTTTGAGCATGTTTGAACAATGTCTTGTCACGAAAGCTAGTGGTAGCAAGCTTGATTTTTTTCATGTTTTTTTCTTGCTTTAGCAAGGGATGTGGAGCAGTCCAATTGCCAAACCCGCAATTTGTCATGCACATTTTGATATGGATTCATTTCTTCCAGCGATCCACCCAACTCCTTCCCACTTAGTCACTCCACTCCACCTTGCTCTGACCATCTTGCCACCTTCCTCCACGCTACCCTTCGCATCTCCCTTCTCATTGCTAGCGCCCATGGCTTTCTATGCCTTCTCCGCTCCCACATCTTTTGTCTTGGCCTTTCGTTTACCAACCCTCAAGGACTCAAGTTTGGACCTTTCCCCATGGTATTTTGCTCATAACTCATGCCCATCATCAACCAGTAGTTCCAGCTGAACATAAAGGAACCCGAAACCTTAACATGCCACCTGGTGCAAGTGAAACATACATTGAAAATCATTGAAAGTCATTGAAAATCATTGAAACATGTTGAAACATGTTGAAACATTGAATTTCTGAATGCCATACCTTGAAATCCTTAGAGCTTGGCTTCCGGCAGGTGTTGCCACTTTCTGAAGTGATTGCCGAGGCAGGTGCAGTGTTTGAACAAGGTCTTTCCAAGCAGTAAGTTGTGTTGCGAAGTGGAAGGGTTCAACATGGTTCAACGACATTTTGCTCCCTCATCATTGCCGCAGTTGTTGTCAATGAGTGTCACTGAAGCACAATGCACTGGAGGTGTTGCTGCGGCAAATGGTCAGAGTGAAGCAAGAAAACATCCCAGATCATCAATATTTTCATAATTCATCCCAGGGTGTGACAATCTTCAGGATTTTGCTTTCTGCCTGTGCTCATTGCAGGCAGAATCGCTGTTTCAACAGCCCTCGGAGACTCACGGGGAGGAGGAACAGCCCCCGCAGGCTTGCCAGATTTGAAAAGGGGGTCTTGGATGTTGCGCATGGCGATTTGAGGTGGTGGACCCTGTTCATGATTTCAAAAAAAGAGGAGACAGCCTTTCAACATCTTTCAACTGTTTGTTTTGTAAAGTGGTTCCACAAGAAATTGGACTCGTGGCAGACACAAAGATTATTTCTCACCCCTGCAATCGGATGAGACATCGTTGTGGTTTAATGCACCTAGTGACCCAGTCTTCACCACCAGTGCAAAATTGTCAAACCTGAAGTGGTTGGTGGTGATGACACCCACAGATTTCCCAAACATCTCCATGAACTTTCAGGATGACATCACGCAATTTGTGCAGGACAGGGGCAGGGTCAGGATGGGCCAGGTCAGCTGGTGGTGGGCTAGTCGGCTAGTCCTTCAACTGTGGATCTGGGAAACATCAATTTGCTTGACACTGCGTACAGTGCCAATCGGAAATTGCCGATGGATGCGAGGATTTAACAACTAAATTTTAGTTCCGTCAAAAGGGCTTTTCGGCGTCACTTGAGAATAGGCTGGGACCCGGTCGGATAATGTTTGGAAACTTGCTTCATAACAAAAGCCCCAAAGATCCAAGGCCTTTCTCTCCGCGATCGGCTGCTGCGGCAGGCAGCAGCCGGGAAGGTGTTGGGCTGCTGGTGTGACCTGCAGTTGAGGGCTGGACAGCTAGACATTTTTAAAAGGGTGGGGAATGTGATCAGCTGCATTAAGCACTAATCATCACCTAATTCTGTCGGGACCATGGATCTTGTGGCAGCAAGGGAAGGTGGTGTGACCTGCTAGTTGTCCATAGTCAAAGCCAACGTTCCCCAGGCGCCAAAAGTGATCGCCGCCTAGCAATTTAGTTTCACCCGCATCAATGAGACAATATCATGTCTGGGAATCTTGCAGATGTTTGTATTTTTCAAGTGGAATGTAATTGCTAGCTGTGTATAATTGTGTATAAAGAACCATAGGTATTTCACACGCTGCACCCCAAATGCACGCTGCTAACTGGCTGCAGCCTCGATTGATTTGATGGCTTGCCACAGCTTCTGCAAGTCATGGAACGTTTTGAACTGAAAAATCGCAGCAGAGGGCCGGCCTGGAAAGCCTACCGTTTTTGGAGGCTTTCCCGGAATTTGACGAAAAAATCCAAGAGATACCTGTGATATCAGTTTTGGATGGTTTTGGATGAAGTGTGACTCGCCCAGTCAGAATGTTCAAGACATGCGAGGTTCGGGCCAAGGGTGGATTGGGTCATCTAGCTCCGAAGATTGTCGTTGAGTTGCTCTCATCGATATCAAGTATTCAACATATTTCATGAATTTTCATGATACTTCAGCATGTTGTTGTCACCTGACTTGGCCCCAACCAATTCTTGGCAGAGCCTGTTCTGAGCTGCAAGCTTCCAAGTTGACACTTTCTCTGATTTCTTATGATCCTGCAGATGCCTTACGAATCCTTACGACATGATAGCTTGGTTGTGGCGGCTATGGGCTCAGATTCATCACATTGTCCATCATTGTCCTCATTTGTCGCCTGGAGGCACCTTGGCTCAGCTGCTGATTGTTGACATCGCTCCTTCCGCTTTCGCTGTGGCCATGGATTCAGCCACGGCGGCGTCGGTGTACGGCATGAGATTCCCCGTCACCGCGCGCTCGCGGGATGACCCGCGGCTCCTGGGATGGAGGATGGTTGATGGCAAAAGCCAGGCGCTGCAGCAGCGACACCTGGCCGAACTGGAGGCGGAGGGCAGGAAGATGAAGGATCAACCGAAGGAGGACACGCCGGGATCGGGGATGCTGGCGGCCATTGCCCGCTTTGATGCGTTGCAAGCTTCAGCAAAGAAGCCTGCGGTAATCAAGGCGGAGGCGGGGAGAGAGTGGATTTGAGAAAGATCTTGTTGGGATCAGTCATGATTGGGTCTCAAAGTGGCCTAGTACCAGTACCATATGGCGGCGGGAGTTTCATCCTCATCAAAACAAAAAAAATCCAACTACCCGAAAAAGGTGCTAGGCCTGGTAGGCGTTGATGCAGTGCATGGTCATCGCGAAATGTCAAGTTTTGGCATTGCAATACCTTCGGATCCTTCAAGCACTTTCTTTCTTTCTGCAGGTGGCGGAATTTGAAGCGTCACCTGGGGCTGAAGTTGCCGAGGCAGGTGCAGTGTTTGAACAAGGTCTTTCCAAGCAGTCAAAAGTTGTGTTGCGAAGTGGAAGGGGTTCAACATGGTTCAACGACATTTTACTCCCTCATCATTGCCAGAGTTTTTGTCACTGAGTGTCACTGAAGCACAATGCATTGGAGGTGTTGATGCGGGAAATGGTCAGAGTGAAGCAATGAAACATTAAGATGTTTCATAATTTAGCACACAGGATTTTGCTTTCTGCCTGTGCTCATTGCAGGGCCCTCCTGAGCCAGTCGAGGCAGAGGCAGTGGGTTTGAACAATGTCTTGTCACAAAAGCTAGTGATAGCGAGCTTGATTTTTTTTCCCGAGAGCGTCTGAGCGCAGGGTTCTTCCAATAGTGGAGGTCTGTATCTCATCTTCTCATCTTCACATCTTCTCATCTTCACATCCTCTCATCTTCACATCTTCATCTTCACACCTTCTCATCTTCACATCTTCTCATCTTCACATCTTCTCATCTTCACATCTTCTCACTTCACATCTTCACATCTTCTCACTTCACATCTTCACATCTTCACATCTTCTTCACATCTTCTCATCTTCACATCTTCTCATCTTCACATCTTCTCATCTTCACATCTTCTCACTTCACATCTTCACATCTTCTCATCTTCACATCTTCTCATCTTCACATCTTCTCATCTTCACATCCTCTCATCTTCACATCTTCACATCTGCTCATCTTCACATCTTCACATCTTCTGCTCATCTTCACATCTTCATATCTTCACATCTGCTCATCTTCACATCTTCTCATCCTCACATCTTCACATCTTCACATCCTCACATCTTCACATCTTCTCCTCTTGCCCTCTTGCCCTCTCGCCCTCTCGCCCTCTTGCCTTCTCCTTCTTTTCTATTTCTCTTCTGAAGGCGGGGGCAGGGGCAGTGCCAACGAGACGGCACGAAACGCAACCCTTTCGCACGAAACGAGGTTCGATCGCCAAAAACTGAAGTAAAATTGCGATTTCAAGGTGTCCGGCGCAACCCTTTCGCACGAAATGAGGTTCGATCGCCAAAAACTGAGGTAAAATTGCGATTTCAACTTGTCCCGCGCAACTCTTTCGCACAAAATGAGGGTCGATCGCCAAAAACTAAGGTAAAATTGCGATTTCTTCTGTGTGTACAATTAAAGCTTCTGTTTGCTGTGTGTCAAAGCTTCTGTGTGTAAAAGCATCTGCGTAAAAGCGTCTGTGTAAAAGCGTCTGCTTAAAAGCTTCTGTGTGCTCTGTGTAAAAGTGTTTGTGTGTAAAACCGTCTGTGTGTAAAAGCGTTTGTGTGTAAAAGCTTCTGTGTGCACAAGCGTCTGCGTGTAAAAGCTTCTGTGTGTAAAAGTGTTTGTGTATAAAAGTGTTTGTGTGTAAAAGTGTCTGTGTGTAAAAGCGTCTATGTGTAAAAGCTTCTGTGTGTAAAAGCTTTTGTGTGTAAAAGCGTCTGCGTGTAAACACTTCTGTGCGTAAAAACTCCTGTGTGTAAAAGGGTCTTTGTTAAAAGTGTCTGTGTGTAAAAGCGTCTGTGTGTAAAAGTGTCTGTGTGTAAAAGTGTCTGTGTGTAAAAGCGTCTGTGTGTAAAAGCTTCTGTCTGTAAAAGCTTCTGTGGGTAAAAGCTTTGTGTGTAAAAGCGTCTGTGTAAAAGCGTCTGTGTAAAACTGTCTGTATGTAAAAGCGCCTGTGTGTAAAAGTGTCTGTGTGTAAAAGTGTCTGTGTGTAAAAGTGCCTTGTGTGTAAAAGCGTCTCTGTGTAAAAATGTCTCTGTGTAAAAGCGCCTGCCTGTAAAAGGTTCTCTGTGTAAGGGGTTCTCTGTGTAAAAGCTTGCTCTGTGTAAAAGCTTCTGTGTGTAAAAGTGTTTGCGATGCAAACTATTGTCTTGTACTTATGCTATATTGTCTTGATACTCCTCTTCTCGACTGCCTAAAACACATCTTTAATATATTGTTTTGTAATATGGTGTCTCCATACTAACCAGAGAAGACCCTGCTCCTCTACGCTCTCGGGCCATCCGTCGTCTAGTTCATCTTTTTGCCTTGCTTTCGCAAGGGATGTGGAGCAGTCCAAGTGCCAAACCCGCAATTTGTCATGCACACTTTGATATGGATTCATTTCATCC